GACAAAGCCCCTTTGGACTAGTAAGTTCAAAATCTTTAAAAATGCTTCAGGATACTTATCAATCTTATTTCTAAAGTTGCTATTTTTATTTTTAACCATAATAATCTGAATAAATTTATAGAAATTTATTAAGATGTACTTGATGTTAAATTTATTATAATACCATAAATTCCGTACCAATCGGTAATTTAACGCCCAACAAAAATAAGTCGTGAACTTATATAAATCCATGTGGATTAATATATGAATCTTCTAAATAATAAATTCGTATCACTTCGTATTAGTTAGAGAGACTATTTAAAAATCCTGTACTTCATATAACTAGTTTGAAACATAATATTCATTTCCATTTAAATCAATGAGACTCATGGAGATGCCCTCCACTCAGTCAAAGTGAAGCCAAAAAAGGGGGGAAAGCATGCCCTTAGTAGTCGTGGCTTAGAAAGATTGACGTGCTCTAACCACACCCAATTTTTTCCTGGTAGTCGAAAAGGATCGCAAATTCTTCACGCCCTCTTTCCTTTACTTTTATCACCATTTCATTTTATTTCTACATTATATAATTGCAATAATTTCTACATTATGTAATTGTATCCTGTAATTAATGAATAATAGCATTAAAAGTACACAAAACAGTAACACAGAATACAAAACAGTAACTATGTACTCAAACTATAATTTGATTATATTTTACTTATTCTAAGTATATATATAATTCCCTAATTTTTTATGTTATAGATATTACTTATGTTTCGAAAAAACTTAATTTGAAAAAACAATGATAGAAAATGTAAATTTTTTATGTTGTTATTTTAAAACTCAGACAACAAATGTGACTAAAAATCAAATTCAGTTATTGCATATTTACTTGAACACAAAATAAAATGTAGTTAAACCGTGGCCTTCGAGAAACAAGGCCGTCCAGCTCTCTCGTGACGTCACCGTATGGAGTGCGAAGAAACGTTTCTCCTCCACTGAAAGCGACGAACTCAAGCGCGCTATTTATTAGTAAAAGCTAATTTTATGTTATTTGATGTAAAGTAAACAGGAAAAATTATTAAATAAGTGATACTATCTTAGCATTATTAAATATCATGCTTTAAGACTTCAGGTATATGAGCTTATTTTTCTTAACGCTTGATAAAAATTTTCACCTGGGTGGTCATAATTATTATTTTCAATCCCATTTACTTTCTATAGTTTGGATAAACTTTTCAACACTTAAACGCGTAACGCAAAAATGTTATGCTTTCGAACTGAAAATACGCACATTATTTTTCATTTATAGATAAAAATGAAAACTATGAATAAAAAGAATTTTACAAGAACCCGATATTTCTTTACAGCCTTCTAAGTAGTACATAATTTTGTTCAGTATGGCGATAAGATAAAAGAACGAGCACTTTCGGTTATTACATTATTTTTTTAAAACAAATCTAGTGTAAAAAGGTCTTTTACAATAAACTAAATATTAAAAAAGGCATAGTTTCATCATTTATTTATTGGTATAATAATTTAAAATGTAATTTTTTATGATAATTTTAATGCCAAGCATTATTTTAAAATGTTGTTACTGAAAAAATCCTGTTCATAAAATAATTATTCAACTACGGTGAGCAATATTCTTCTAGAAATAGATAGAATCAAATTAGAATCAAATAGACTTCTTATAGAATCGAAACCAAAAATCTATTTTAAACTATTATTAATATAAAAAACGTAATAACAAATTTATAAAAATGAAAAGTTTTTTTTATAATTTTTTTTAGATATAATGTTAATTACAATTTTCAGAATAAACTTGAAAATGTGACAAAAAAAGAGTTGAAAGCGTAATGTGTTCCCTTAAAATATTATAAGCACACGAATTTGAATTTTTAAATGAAAAACATTATTACTTTCAGATCTCTAAAACTTACAATGACAAGTGGTTTTAAAATAATAGTCGAGATAAATTAGATATTACAAATGCTATTTTAAGTTCCAGATTTTTTATATTTTATCGATTAATGCTTTATATTAAGTACTGAATTTTCTACTGAATATTTAGTCTGCAGTATATGAAGTAAAATTTATTATACATTAAATAATACTATAGTATTATGAACTTAATTACCCATTAAAATATTCACATGCAATTTATGAAGCAACATGCATTTATTAAAAAAATTATAGAATTCACTTTAAGACAAATTGCAGGAAACAAAAGCTTATTATACTGCTTATTTACATTAGCAATGATTTATTGTATACTTTTATATTTTACACTAGTTATTGTTTACTATTATATTTAACACTAGTTTTCATTGGAATGATTTTGGCTTTAAAAACAGACATATATTAAAATATGATATGTAATTTATATAATTTTCTTGAATATCAATGAAATCATAAGAATAAAAAGCTCACCTGCTATTTTTAGTTGGAATGAAGTCCTTTCGCTATATTGCACGGATCCACTTTTCTTTCAGACCGGCATCATTACGAAAAGAGAAAATGTGCACTTTAGGTCCAGATTTGTAAGTGCCGTTAACATCGCGGCACTACACATGTAAGGCATTATATTGTTTTGGAACTACTCACAAATTGCCAAAAACTCAAATTTAATTATCCAGCTGCAGGAAAATCCGGAATGCAGTTAATATCCAAGATTTTAGGTTAGAATTTAGTTCAACCTCTTCTTTCGAAGCAATGGCGACTGGACAACCTTTGACCCAGCGTGCCCTCACCGCAAGAAGGGGTGGCACTCTTCACCCCAAGAAGGGATGCACTCTCTGCATGACGTCACACGCTCAACGTCGTCACTGAGCTTAGGGCCTTGTTTTCGAAGGCCACGGTTAAACATAAAAGGTAATACCTGTAATGTAATTATGATCAAACATTAAAATAAACTGGTTTTTTTCCATGGAGAGTTAGGTACGCCCCCTTCCCCTGTTTACTTATCGTTTTGCATCACATATATGTTAATTACGAATATCACCTTTATTATAATTATGAAAAGGTAAATATGAGAACTATATATGTTTCTTTGTGTAATTTGTGTAATTTACACAAAGAAAATACTCAAACTATTTCTTGAAGGCCATTCAAACACTCATTTCGATTATTCTACTTTTTTATGCACGTTCTTAAACATTCTTTTACATGGACATGAAGTCGGAAATATGGACATTATTTCGCTGTAACAATTCAGTGCCTTTCAGATCTAGACACACAAAATCAGAAAGCACACTGAGAACTTTAAACCAGCTGCCTTTTTACGTCACTTCGCTTAGTAAGGTAATCGTTTTCTTGCCCTCACGTGGCCTTATCTTCGTACTGTGGTAGCAGAGACGCCATCTCCATGTATTCTAACCTCCTTGGTTCTACCAAGGGTATCGTACGATACGATTGTAAACCATAGAATATGTATCATTCTGTATGTAGACATTCTTTGCGTAAACAGTTCTGGTTCATTGGGTAATGATTACATAATTCCGTACATTCTCTCGCTGCTTTTACTGAACTATGGCCGATGGTTCACGTGGTACGACACCGCTGAAAACGTAAATTATTACCCATACTAGTGAAGGCAAACGTAGATAACATGAGCCTTCACCCTACGTGACAATTGATAGGATTAAGTATTGAAGCTGCTGGGTTCTTAAAAAGAATTAATAACGTAAACTTTTCTTTTCTTGGGAAAGTAGTGATTAATTTAAAATTTAATCAAACTAATGTCCTCTTTATGATTTAATAACTAATGCCCTTATAAGGTCCATGCTAATGCCCATGGCCTCTTTAGAATCACATAGTATAAATAAACGTTTATACCCAAGACACCCTCTTTAGAAATGGTAAAAAACGAGATTGAACATCAAGGAGGTTAGAACTCATGGAGATTCCAAGTCCAAGTGAAGCCAAAAAAGGGGGAAAGCATGCCCTTAGTAGTCGTGGCTTAGAAAGATTGACGTAGATAACATTAAAAGTATTGTGAACACGAAATAGTAACTATGTACTCAAACTATAATTTGATTATACTTTACTTATTTTAAGTATATATAATTCTCAAATTTTTCATGTTATAAATATTACTTATGTTTCGAAAAAACTTAATTTGAACAAACAATGGTAGAAATATGTAAATTTTACGTTGTTATTTTAAATCTCGAACAACAAATGTGATTAAAAATCAAATTCAGTTATTATATATTTACTTGAGCACAAAATAAAATGTAGTTAAACACATAAAAGGTAACACACTTGTAATGTAATTATGATCAGACATTAAAGTAAACTGTTTTCTTTTCCATGGAGAGCTAGCCACGCCCCCTTCCATTGTTTACTTATCGTTTTGCCATCACATATAAGTTAATTACGAATATCACTTTTATCATTATTATGAAAATTTAAATCTAAAAACTATATATGTTTCTTCTTGTACTTTACACAAAGAAGATACTCAAACCCTTTCTTGAAGGCCATTCAAACGCACATTTCGCTTATTCTACTTTTTTATGCACGTTCTAAAACATTTTTTTACATAGACATGAAGTCGGAAATGTAGACATTATTTCGCTGTAACAATTCAGTGCCTTTTCGCTGTAACAATTCAGTGCCTTTCACATCTACGCAAAAAAAATCAGAAAACACACTGAGAACTTGAAACCAGCTGGCGTTTTTACCTGACTTCGCTTAGTAAGGTAACAGTTTTCTTGCCCTCACTTGGCGTGGCTTATTTCCTTCCCCTGGCTTCACTTTCTTCGTACTGCAATAGCAGAGACGCCATCTCCATGTATTCTAATCTCCTTGATTTAAATATTATTATTCTGGCAACAAAAGTTTGAATTCCTTATTTCATTCGTCTGAATGACTTCCACTGTAATTAAATTAAAAAGCATATTCATTTAAGAAATTAATTCGTTCAAGAAATGCTTTGTAGGCATATTTTTATTCCTGTACTATCACTATTACTATTTACAAGTTATAATAACTATTTAACTATAAATTGTTTTACTCACCAACGCATTTCCCATGAATATTCAAATATCCTGTATTACAGATGCACTGAAATCCGTTTTGCTGAAGAACACAGGTGCCAGAATTACAACTGCAAACTGTAAAAGTAATTAGACGAAATTAAAGGAATAAAATTGTGATTGTCATACGAAGTATGTTTGTAGTTTATTATCAGAATTTACTGCGTATTGCATTTTCTGGATGCATGAAGGATTTGCTGAATAGATAACTTCATTGCTAGAAAACATAAATTTTTGTACAATGTACATTCTGGCCATATGGAAAGAAGAAAAAACAATAATACTATCAAATATGTAACTAATGTACCAACTAAAATCGAAAATAAATTTCTTTTATTTACATTCTTTAACATTCCCTATCAGGGCAATAACTCTAGAAACAATGTCTTTGAAAATTGTTCAAATCGAACATCGCACCAAAATATGATGGAAGATTGGCTAATTTTGAGTGTTTTTTGCCCCTTCTTTTCTTTATGTAGCATACTGATGGAAAGTATACAGTAGCATTCCTGCATCCATGGGTAATACATTCCAAAATTTAATGCGAATAATAATGAAAGGTAAAAATACCTATCCGCGTACCAATTATACGTTCAACTATTACTTGCTTACAAATATGGAATTATATGTGCAAATTATTATGCAGCAATTATACGGTCAAAATTCATTCAGTTGTAGTTAACCTACTTCCAGGTCATTTATTGATTAATTTTGCACCAGAGGATTTTACAAATATTCAATTTCAAATTATCATAATTAAGTATATTATGCCCGCACTGTTTGAAAAAGCACTATAATATCACAGACTCTCGCAAAAATCAAGACTATGGATTTTAACGAATGAAAATGTTTATTTCTGGACTTAAATACATACCAAAAACTGTTTATAATAAAAATCGTCAAAGAATAGTCATTATCGCACTATCCGTTTCAGGCAGCTCTTAGGAACTCATTTCCTCCGGGTGACAGTTTTCTCAAGAAGCAAAAAATCTCCCATTGTTAGGTGCCTTTTTATTTTATGCTGGTATCACAATACAGAGTGCAACAACTTAGTTGAGATGCGGCAAGAAATGATTTACCGATGGGATATCTGTAGAGTAACGAAAGGATATCACATAGAACATTTGTGATAAAGATAAATTTGGACCATTTCTCTATTTTATAACAATATAGGAATATATTGTTTTCCTTCCTTGATCCTTGATCCTCAGACTTATAAGAAGTATCAGCCCGGGGGGCTCCTACTAATATAATTCTCTTCGAAGACTTCATGGTATATTCGTGAAGCTTTAATAAAAGCTGTTTTGGCAATAATCAAAGTTGAATTTCTGATGTTGTAGTCTTCATTTACAAAATAACTGTACATATTAAAAAATTTGTAGAAAAATATAAAATTCACATAAAAATAAGCAGTAATAATTAAAAAATAAAATACAAGTAGTAGAAAATTTCTGGATTAAATAAGGAGAAGATAAAATATAATACAAGTCCCATTTGTTCTTTAAATGTTCGGTTAGGACCGAACCTGCGATCTCGTTGGGCAAAATGATCCAAGGTCCGTACCATTCGGCTACGTCATCATCTGTTCAGTAAGCGCTAAAAAGTACTTATACGAATAGTTCCAGTGCCTGGAGGGCGAAATCTAGCTTCTCGTTTTCGTTGGAAACTTTGGTGAATTATTTGTGGTACAGGTCTTTTAATTTGAATATGAGGGATTTAAATTCGTCTAAGGTTTTGACATCTGATATTTTGGTTTTTTCTATTTCTTTTTCTTTGGGTGCTGCAACATTCGCATAAGTTTTCTTATTGTTATTTTCTATGATCGGTTCTGGGTTTTGTTTATTGAAGTTAGGGAAGTCATCTTTTTGAGGAATTTTCTGTTTTTGTAAGAATTTTTTACTTGGATGCTCCGGACAATCAATACTTGTAACGGCGTGAAAACCGCTACAAAGCACGCATCTTGCTGGGATTTCTTTTTTTATCTTTGATCGGACATTGATATGAAAGGTGATTTTCGAGACATCTTACGCAACGTGGTAAATTATGGCAAGCTCTCTGTGTGTGTCCGTAACGTTGACATCTAAAACACTGCACGGGACCCGGTCTGGAGTTATATCCTACAATACGAACTTTCATATCACAGATGTGAGTGATGTTAAATATTTCTTTTTCCTGTGGAGTTCTGGGCGTTTCGACGTAAAAAATCGGCAGTAATGTTGGAATACCGTCACGCATTCTCTGTAATTGGTGAATTTTTAGAACTGTTATGCTATGCAATTTTAATTCTTCTTTTATTTCATCTATGGGTGTTTGTGCGGTTAAGCCTTTGATAACTGTTTTAAGATTCTTTTCTTTAGTTAAGAGAAAAGTATGGAACAGGATGAGTGCTTTTTCTAGATAGTCTTGAGCCTTTCGGAAATCGTCTTCATTAAAAAATTGAACTCTTATGTTATCTCCTTCGGTTTTGGTTTCGAGTTTGTAGATTTTTAAATTTTTTTTTATATGTTTGCGAATTTCTGGCCAGTTGTTATTTTTATATTGTTTTCCTGTAAATTACATTCAAATAAATCATTTTTTTTTTTTTTTTTTTGCCCAACTAAGTGGTAGACATTCTGTAGAATGTGCCTTGTGACCTTATAGTAGATGCGTTAATTCGTCTCTGAGTTCCCATCGGAGCAGGCGTGGATATGGGAACAATCCTGAAAGTTCGCCACGCCCCCTTAAGAGCCACGCGGAAAGTTTAAGCCTAACTACCTATATGCGTGTAGAAAAGACGAAAATTCGATTTCTTTACACTATATTGCTAATGCACGCAAAATATTACATGTTACGTTACAGGTAAGCATACTATATTACGTACTGTGTTATAATTATTAATATTACAAAATAATGCAAAATGTATTCTATACCACATTTTGTCTTTCATGTTTATAAAATTAATAGATTCAGGCCTCTTAAGGGGGCTCATATACCTTAAACCCCTTATGATCTTCGAATATGTGACTGTTGAAGAATTAAAAGCAATTACTTCCGCCTTTTTACAGCTGTCTACATAATGTAGCTGCTTTGGAAACTAGTAACCAGAAAGTTTGCGTTGCCACAAATATTTTTGTAATTTTATAGGTTATGATTCAATAATGTTTTCCAAAAAATTCATAAACTTACTAAGAAAATCAATTTACAAAAATCAGAAAATGTCAGCGAATGTTGAATGTTTTTGGACTGAACCTAAATTTCGAATTGTGAAAAAAAGAATCAAGGAAGTTTAATAAAAAGAGATATTAATAAATATATATCAAATTCAATTAACATGGAGGAATTAAAATTTTGGGAACCAAATTTTTTAAAACTACTCTTGCGACTTACAAAACTTGACACTTTCGCATAAGAGGCATAAAATTGAAATATAGAAAAGAATCGGGGTGTTATTTCAGGAAACGCCTGATTTTTGTGTTAAATTACCTATGTTAGAACAGTGTTGTATATAAAACCAATATAAACCCTAAGTCACACTATCCAGACGTGAAACATGCAAGTTAAATTTCGTCAATTGGACAGGTAGAATGAGAGATACAGAACTGTGCCCTTTTTTTTATTTTTTAATGCAGAGTGTACCTCTACGACTGTTGAATGCTCAAACGTAACAGCCTGCCTGTGTTGATAGAATTTGAAATTAATCAGAGTTCCCAACCGAAATACATTCTTCTGCTTGAGATCTGGAGTGTTGTATTCGCTAAGTTATGTAGCTTCATCTCTCAATTCCTTCAAAAACACTTTCACACAGAATCAGAAGTAACATACATACGCAATGCGTCTGGAATGTTTTAGACTAATTTGAAACAAATTCCAGCAAACCTATGAAATGATAACTGTTGTGCCATTTAGGTTTTCAAAATTATCGTAAACTTAAAGATAAAAATTTCTATGCAGTTGATCATCCGTTTTCGTTCTCTGAAAATCTGCTCTCGTGAAAAGCTGACGAAAAAACACCACGTTTTGCAGTAAAGCAGAACAACAGTGAAAGAGGTATTGGAAATATTATACTAAGCATATGAGGATCAAGCATTACTACCATCCCGTGTGTTTCATTGATCGCGGACGATATCATAGTGGTCGCAAGCATGTTGATGTCAGTCTATCTCAGTCTCGAGGAGATGAGGATAGAAAAAGTTCTGTAACTGTAGCAGAAAATCGTCATCTCTCTCTTCACACTACAACTGATGAGTTTAACATGAGAAATAGCACTTCTAACGAAACAACCGTGGAAAATCTTGAAACATCCATTGATTGCAGAAAAGAAAGAAGGCTGTATATCTGCATGCCATGATTCGATCCAAATGACAGACATTAATCCTACTTTAATAAGACAATTGTGAGTGGAGATGAAAACTAGTGCTTTGCTTATAAGTCTGAAACTAAATGCCAGTCATGTGCCTGTGCTGCAGAAGGTAAATCATGGCAGTTTCAGAAATTCCGAGAGAAAAATATGTTGACAAAATCAATATTTCATAAAAGCAGAATGAACAGATTTCTGAACCGAATTCAGCTCATTTAACCCAAAAATATACAATAAAGTAACTGGTTTCCACAGGACGACAATACGCAGTTACGCAAATGCATTCATTTTAAGACGTTTTTAGCAAACGAAAGGTATCACAATTCTCATCCACCCCTCGTCAACTTTGGTGCGCCGAACGACAAACCTCGATACAGGATTCTCCCAATGTCGTCTTTTCAGACGAGTTCCGGTTTCCGGTGAAGTATTCTGATGGCCGTATACGTGTCAGGAGGTTCCGAGCACACTACAAGTCGCCTGGTTGCATTCGATATCGGCATAGGGGCCCTGCACCTGGTGTGATGATTTAGGCAGCCATTGGCTACACGACACGCACATGTCTAGTGCATCGACGGTAATTCGAAGTGGACAGTCCAATGGTTATGCCCTATCTTTCAGGCCTGCCAAAAGCCATCTTCCAATAAGATAATGCAAGACCACATTTGTACGTCTTGTTCTGACTTTCCTCGATACAAAGGATATTCGATTGCTGTCCTGGTCTGTACGATCTCCAGATCTGTCACCCATTAAAAACATCTGGTCATTGGTTGCTGAAAGACTGACCCACCACCCCTCTCCAGCTAATACGGTTGATGAAAGTGTGGCATAGACTTAAAGCAGCATGGAATGAGTTGCCCATTTCCCTCATGCAATCCCAGTTCGACGCGATGCCTAACCGGGAAAGGGCCGCTTTAGCTGCCACACAGCTGTTTTCCCCCTGTAAACTTTCAAACTGCTTACAGATTTAATCATTTTGTCTTCATGACATACTGTTTACGTATACTAAATATCTTTTTCTTTTTTGCTTTTCTTTGTGGTGTTGCAATTTTAATGGCCAGCAGTGCAATTTCTATTTTTTTAGGGGATAGGCAACTAGGTAATCATATATCTGTAAACTTTCTGATGACCCCCTTGTCTATATATATTAATTACATTATTCCATAAAATAATTATACTTACAGACACATAATCCATTGTATTCCTTGTAAAGGCGATCACACTGGCAACTCTTTTTTCCATTTTCATCGAAAACACATTTACCGTTTTCTCCGCAGTCACATGCTAAGAGTATAAAATACTGTGAGTTCAATTTAAAACTTTAACCGAGTGAAAGTACTGCATATAATTTTAGAATTTTTATTCATACGAAGAACCAACAGATTCTAATAAAAAATACTTATGACATCTGACTTATTTTCTGATATACATTTTAAAAATTTAGTATAAATTTCAGGTCTTTTTATATACTCTCAATATATTTTTACGTATTATGATGCATAAAAATTCCAAAGTTTTGATTAATATTTTCTTTATTTCTGACGTGGTTTCAGAGGTAAAAGATGGGAACGGAAACAAGAAAGTGATTAATTTGAAATATTGGTGAACATGAATACAATGGTGTACGACAGGTTGAATGTTACAACAGAAGCTCAAACTTTACAATATCAGACGCCAAACATGCCTGACATCGACGTACCATTGATTGCCGGACATGTTCAAACACACCTGAAGCTTCGATTGTAGCAGATGCACGGGCGAGTCTTGCTACCAGATTCATTTCAGACCCAAAGGATAGTAATAATAGACACTTTTTAATGGCTCCCCACAAAACGAAATCAAGGCTCAATTAAATCCGGAGCGTGGGTGCCAGGAAACTGGTCTACCAAGCCCAATCCACCGATGCGGGAATGATCTGTTCAAATGCCTGCGAACATCCAGTTCAAAATGAGCAGGCACCCCGTCACGTTGGAACCACATTGTTGCGACTCACATTTGGTGGAACATCGTCAAGCATGCCAAGAAGAATCTGCTCCAGAAAGATCAGATAATTCTCAGCATTTAACCTGGATGGTAAAAGGTACGTCCCGACTAAGCAGTTGCCTACCAAACCCGTCCACAAATTAACTTTGAATCACTGTTGTGCCACGTGGTGCCGCACATCCTACGGGTTTTCTTCAGCCCGCAAATGCTGGTTGTGGTGACTGCATATGTCTCCTTAACTGAATGTGGCCACAACACATAAACTGGGAAATTAACATCACGGGAACTTTCTTTTAGAAACCACATTGCGAAACGCACACGTTCAGGATGGTCGTCCGGGAACAGTAACCTAACCCTTTGGAGACGAAAGATGTGGAATGACTTGGCGCTCAAGACACGCTGGACACTGGTATACAAGACATTCTTAATTGAGAGGCAATGGCCCGTATGCTGGTCCTTACATTACTCTCCATTGTATCCGATGCACGTTCTTCCCTAACGACCAGCGGGTCGATCGTGGCCTACCTTCACTTGTCCTGCCACTTCTTAATGACCCGAAGTCGTATACAAATTTTTATGCAGACGTGCAAATAAACTGTGTTATGGTTGATGTCTGTCAGAGAAGCGTTCTCGATAAATGCGTCCAACGGCTCGTCGATTACCCTCAGGTATTCCATACACTAAGTGCATTTCTGCAAGCTCTCCGTTTGTATAGCGTTCCAGCGTATGGTGCCTACCGCTTGAATCAGGCAATTATTACTTTCCAGTCACACTCTCCTATACAGGACCTTTTGGAGGCGTATAATGACATTTCTGGGTATGGGTTTCTATGCAATTCTTAATCCTTATGATGTGCCCTACCGCTCCCAGAAGTTTGTCGTAACATTTACGGGACACCCTGTATATATATATTCTGATATAGGTAGCCTTAAGGAAATTAATTTAGCAACTGAGGAAGATTCCTGGAAGATATTAATAGAAATAAAGTAGAATTTGGGGTTTGAAGACGAACAATACTACGTAGTAGATTGTTTATTTGTTTCTTTGTGTCAAGCATAAATTTCATTTTCCTAGACGCGAAATTTTAAAGCTCGTTTGGTCTGAGTAATCAAGTCAAACTAAGGAGGTATGATATAAATTCTACAAAATTTCATTCAGAAAAGCATTCTTTACAGGCAGGTTTGCGTGTTTTATTTACAGAAGGAAACGCTTATCGAAAACTGAACTTAGGCCAAATATTTATTAGCTGAGAGTAGTAAAGGAATAAAGACTAAATTATTATGAATGATACCCGCGGAATATTATATTAGGGCTGAAAGATTTTTTAACCACTTAATCAATAATTTGAGACAAGAAGCATTTGTCAGTTTCAATAGTTGTTAGATAGTTGAGCTCTTAATAAGCGGGTGACTTAGAGATGTGGAAAGCAAAATCTGAAAAGGAATTATTTTTTATTTGGTAGAAATGCAGGATTTGGCATGCGGTGGAAGGAAAAAAACCAAGGAAATATTTTGATACACTGTGATATCAAAACTAGAACTGTTCTGCATGATTGAAACTCCAAGAAAAGGAGAAGAGCTGTAATATTCATAATATTCATGTTAAAAACTGAATTGGATTATTGTACTATAGTATTCATAACTGACGGAACTTCAAATAAATTGTCTCTTTTACTATTATAGACAGCGGCTTTATCGTCGACATGACAAATCCATAACGGAAAGTTTAATTTTTTAAGACATTTTTTAGAATTAAGATAGCACATGAAAGTATCCGAATGAACTGAGATCAAGAAACTAGGACTGGTTATTTCTTCTGTCAAAAAATGCATAATCTGGTTTTTAAAATCATGATTTTTGTCGTATTCTTAAGAGATATATAACATTTCTTGGCTATGCGACTCGATGGCAAAACTAAATTCGACGTTGGTGAAGCTAAACGCGTTTATTCTTTGGCATCAGGAAATTATACACTTCTTGATGCCAAAGATAGTATAACAAAATATTGTACAGTAGGTGTCATTTAATGCGATCGCGTTCCTCCACGGCAATTTTGATAACATTAAACATCGAGAAAAAGCGTCTTTTACATGAGCAGCAGAATTTACCTAATTTACTATAAATATAGTAATCCTCCACGGCGTTCCTCCACGGCAATTTTGATTGCGTTCCTCCACGGCAATTTTGATAACATTAAACATCGAGAAAAAGCGTCTTTTACATGAGCAGCAGAATTTACCTAATTTACTATAAATATAGTAATCCTCCACGGCGTTCCTCCACGGCAATTTTGATAACATTAAACATCGAGAAAAAGCGTCTTTTACATGAGCAGCAGAATTTACCTAATTTACTATAAATATAAGCAGAACTATATAAATATATATTTTAACTCGAAAAAAATGTCATTACTGGAGGGTTGTCTACCAGCTTGACACAAAAGTTCATTTATTAATTATGTCTAATGCCTGCGGAAACTAATTGACCGAAGTTGTAATCCCAATCTTAGTGTTCGGAGGGCGTTCTTTATGTTATCATTTATAGAAAACAAGAAACGTTCTTCAACAAGTTTATTACATGATGTGCTTGGATTTGTTTCAGGAAGTTCCTAGTGGATATCGTTTATGTGAACATCGAATACCTATGTCTGATCGTTCTGGACATAAACACAATTATTTAAAATCTGAGCAAAATTAAACAAAAGCATTGGCTTTATAGCTTAACTTTAAATGGTTGTTTAAAACAAGATCTAAACACTTTATTGACTTAATCACTTACTTGACGACATTTTTCAGTCATCTGGAAAGTTTTGAAATTTATTTTGGCTTTATTTGGAGAATTTATGTCGGTTTGAAAAATTCATTCCATATCAGTTTGATAACATTAGCGAAATTGTTGTCCACAATAACCGATGCATTTTCCATGTTTTCGTGTACCAATGGGGGGAGGTTCGGGAAGCTCGATAAAATATTCGAATGAAAATATTAACCACGATAACATAAAGTGGTGTATTTAAAAAAAGAATACCTAAATCAACTCTTTAATATTGCTCGTCTGAAAACCTCAAATTCAGTTTTTCTCCCAGAAGTTGGTGAACTGAATTTCCTCAAGGCGTTTCGTACCTATAAAGTCTATAACAGTCGAATATATAATTTGCAACACTTATTTTCCCCCATTCTATAATCAGATCACTTTTTAAACTGACATTATTTTGTCTGGCCTAGAATGCATTACTTTCTTCGTTTCTTCAATCTATTTTTCTAATTCATCGTCTTATAGACGGCGTAATAGTGAGTTCTTAAAAATTCATTGATCTGCTTACAGATAATTAACTTTAAAACAGCTGTGTCCTGACATGCACATAATTCAGTTACAAAGATCAATTACTGAAAATCGTGCTCATGTAATTGCTGAAAATTAAAGTTATTGCTTTTGTTTCAATTCATCCATACACATACATTAATGAAATTTTTCAATATCCAGTATCCGAATCAGTATTATTTTAAATATTCCAAAGTCTCTCTCTGTTATGAACAGATCTGACTGAAATACATAGTACTTCCCTTTGCCTACAACATCGTCGTCATCCTCCTTGAAAATATTGTCCTCCTCAATTCCCTCCGAAGCATGCTAATGGAAAATTTTAAGAACGATTTAACCTATTTATCGAATGAATGAAACATGGCAATCAATATTAGCTTGTTAGAAAGATTTGATTAAATCAGAAGACCAACTTCAACTATTGGCTGGATTGAACTATTTGTTAGATTGGTTGATCGAACACAACTAGATTCCTAAGTTGATTTTAGATTGAACCTACACACTGGTTTTCAATTTGGGTTGAATTTTTTAAGCAAAAATTTTACCTCATGGCTTACATGTATGGATATTTTGATTATTTATAAGTGTTACTGCATTTACTTTTTCTTCTAATCAAGTCACTTGAATAATATATAACTATATGGCTTCTGACCTTCACATTTTCCATTTTTCTCTGCATACCCTTTATCACAGGTACAGGATTTGATACTTCCTTTGAAAGAACATTCTCCGTGGTCACCACAGCTGCATTCTAGAAAATGTTTAAATCACAGTTAACACTTCGAATTTTATTTGAACAGAGATTTTACATAATATATAAAGTATAAAATTAATTAACTGTAAATTGTCACCTCTACATTTTCCTTCCATTACAGAGTATCCTTTGTCACATAAACATTCTTTATCTCCATTTTCTTTAAACTCACAGAGTGTTGAATTCGTTCCACAGTCGCAAACTGAAAAGAAAGGAAAAGATAAACTCCGAACTCTTTATATTCTAATTCACTTTACTCCTCCGATAGATCATCTGAAGGGATGTTGCTTAGCAGTCTGTTTAAGTCCTGCGAGTGTTTCTAATTTCGTTCACAAAATATGTATCCTGGAAATTGTCGTTATGGAAAAGGGCAGAGAAAGTGCTGTAAAAGAGATGAAGTCAGCTATATGGCTAAAAGTATTCTGTTTTGATTGTTCAACTATTAAGCTGAAGGGGCAGTGCCCTTGCTGCTATTTTGGTTTAAAAACTGAGATGTCTTCTTCGGGAAATTTAATACTGTTGCAACAAATTCGAAAATAGATACATGGATAGAAACCTTTACGCATATATAAACAAACTAATAATGCACAATTAATTAGATATTCTAGTTAACTGCTAAAAGGAATTTAAGTTGATTTTTATTTGATATTAAAACACTAGCTTAATTCTTTAACCTCAAATTGCCATTTCCAAGATATCATCCTCATTCTATTTTGAACATCAACACCTTTGCCATTTTGAATGAAAAACTTCTTATACTAAACATTTGCCGCTCATTCTGCAATAAAAATAGCACAATACAGAGCGAAACATAGTATAATAGTTTTAGCCAATTTTTTTTTTGTAACAAATAAAGTATTATTTGATTTTTATTTTATTTCCCTTTATATTGTTGCGTGCGTACGGATTCGTTACTAAATGAATGCACAAGTCCGATGAAAAATGAACAAAAATTTATTATTATCACAACAAAAATGCTTAAATTTTCTCAAATTATCACGCAGTATTACAATATCTCACAGTAGTTTTCTTTTAACTACTCAAATGTCCAATAGAACGTAATTCAAAACAGCTAAAGAACGCTAATCCGCGAATTCGCTACAATCAACAACAGTAGTTTTCTAAACAACAACAAATTAAGCAAACTACTACAACTGAGATGTTTTCCTCCTTTTATAAGATTTTAAAATCACGCGCTAGAATTTTCCAGTACTTTCTCGAAATCAAAAGAGATATTTATTTATTTAATGCACGCGCTCTTGTATTTCAATTTTCCGGCTTAGCTTTCTTTTAATATTCGTCACGCGCGGCTGCACTGCGCGAGAAATAAAACCATTTAATTTATAATTGAACTAACATTAGCTTTTTAAATACCAAATTCGTAACACTGCCCCCTTCCCAAGGACTGCACGTCCCGGGCAGTACAATTCCTGGACAGGAAGCTAAACTTACAACTGTGGCATAAATGCAACTGAGGCATAAACATTACATTACAATATCAACAATATGAACAATAAATGCAATAACTAACTAAACAAATCAAATGCTATCAAATTCTAAATACAAAACAAATACTAAATACAAATCAAATTCTAAATACAAATCTACAAATCAAAGAAAATCAAATCACAAATAAACATTATAAACAAAAAGGACCATGGTCTATACATTATTTTACATTACGTACTATGGCCATAGTAATGAGCTATAAAGGGCATAGTAATGAGCGAACTGTCGTAATGAACGACTTTAGGTTTAGAGTTCGAAGACTTACGAATCCGAACCACGACGTCATTCGAAGTCCTTTCCGTCGAGTCGGATCACATTCCACAACCACACCTTGTCTCCTTCGTGGAATTGATGTTCAGTAGCTCTTGTGTCGTATCGGGTCTTCATCTTCTCCGTCGCCAAGTTGACTCGCTCTCGTGCAAAAGTTGTGCATCACTTCAAACCAGGCCTGGAGATCTTGAATATTTCCTCAGACGATGAAGGAGCATCCAGAGGGCGGCCAAACAATAGACAATCACAAGGCAGACGAAGGTCACGACCGAAGAGCATCTGTGATGGAGAATAGCCGGTAGTCTCGTGGACAGCACTGCGGTAAGCCAGTAAAAAGAGTGGTAATTTCTTGTCCCAGTCCTGTTGGTTTCTGGAAACCACTAATGAGAGGTTATTAAGGATGGTTCGATTGAACCTCTCTACCATGCCGTCCGACTGGGGATGCAATGGCGTCGTTTGAGTTTTGTCAATGCCAAGTAGTTTGCATAGTTCTTTTTTATGATTACTGCCGAGGCAAAATTCCTTCCCTGATCGGAATGTAACTGAAGAGGCACTCCGAACCTGGAAATCCAATGCTGTATCATTACCTCAGCTACTGTGACTGCCTCTTGATCAGGAATAGGATAAGCTTCAGGCCACTTGGTGAAGTAATCAATGACAACGAGTATGTATTTGTTGCCATCAGCAGTTCGTGGCAGAGGTCCCAGGATGTCAAAGGCGATACGTTCAAAAGGCGCACCTACGTTGTAACGTTGCAGTCTGCCTCGGGTGCGTTTCCTCGGTCCTTTCCGACCTGCACAGGCATCGCAAGATCGGCACCACTTTTGCACGTCATTCTTTGCATTATTCCAGTAAAAAGCGCTCACGAACTCTCTGTAAGGTCTTCATAATTCCAAAGTGACCTCCTGTAGGGCTGTTATGTAGTTCTTTAGGACATCAGGAATCCGGGATCTTGGAAGTATCAGTTGCCATCGGAACGTCCCTTCCCATCATCCGACTTCGAATTTTCCGGTATAAGACGCCGTTTCGAATGTGAAGTGAATCCCGAGAGTGCCCAGTATTGTTTGTTGTAGGACTACAGATAGAAATGTCCTGCCATGTAGGTTTTCTGTTTGATGACTCTATTAAATCAAGTATGGGTTTAATGTCGCGGTCTTCCAGCTGGTCTTTCCTGACTTCATCATCACTCCACGGGTCTCGATCAGCCGATGTTGATGTTGTAATTTTGTCTTGCGACCGAAAGTCAGCAGCTCGTATTTCGCTTCCACCCTGGAACAATATCGGCAGCTTTCTTGGCAAGGTCTTCTAGACAGGGCGTCGGCGTTTCCGTGTGATGATCCCTTACGATGACGGATAGTGATGTCATATTCTTGGAGTCTCTGTATCCACCTGGCTATTTGACCCTCAGGATTTTTGAAATTTAAAGCCAGGCCAATGAGGCATGGTTCCGTGCGGAGGAGGAATTTTCTCAAGTATAGATAATGATGGAAATGTTCTACAGCTTTGACTATGGCGAGCAACTCTTTCCTTGTGACACAGTAATTCCTCCCCGGTTTAGACAGGCACTTGCTCCAGTAAGCTACTACACGTTCTTGGCCGTCTATTTCTTGGGACAAAACAGCACCGACACTTTCATTGCTCGCGTCGGTGTCGAGAATAAATGGTCTGTCGAGCTGAGGATACGTCAGGATTGGAGCAGATGTTAAAGCTTCCTTTAAGTTGTTAAATGCATCCTCGCATTCCTTTTGTCCACAAGAATCTTTGCTTGCTCTCTGTCAGCTTGTGAAGTGGTCTTGCGATGGAGGAAAAGTCCTTCACGAATCTCCTACAGTAGGTGCAAAGCCCTAGGAAGCTTCTCAGCTGATGACATTTTCGGGACGCGTCCAGGATTTAACCGCTGATACCTTTTCAGGATCCGTGCGCACACACCTTCTGCAGAGATGACATGTCCCAGGTAAGTCACTTCCTTTCGGAACAATTTGCATTTAGCGGGACTCAGCTTCAGATTGGCCTTCTTTCAGTTTCTGAAGCACCTTTCCTAATTTTCTAAATGTTCTTCAAAACTCTTTCCGATGATGATGATGATATCGTTCAGGTATATCAGGACAGGCTTCGTAGGAAAGGCCTTTCAAAACAGTCTCCATAAGACGTTCGAATGTTGCCGGCGCATTACACAGTCCAAACTGGCATCACTTTGAACTGCCAAAGCCCTTGTCCCGTAGTAAATGCCGTCTTTTCTCTCGGTCATCAGGATGTATTTCTACCTGCCAATACCCACTCTTTAAATCAAGTGTTGAGAACCACTTGCTTCCAGAAAGAGTGTCTAGAATGTCATCAATTCTAGGAAGAGGGTAACTGTCTTTCTTCGTAACCTCATTCAACCGGCGATAGTCAACGCAAAATCTTGTTGAGCCGTCTTTCTTTCTGACGAGAAACGATGGGAGATGCCCATGGACTCGCTGAAGGCTCGATGACATCGCCTTCTTCCATATCTTTTAACAGTGTTCGCACCTCTTCCTGTTTAGCAAACGGTAGACGTCTTGGATGTTGCTTGATCGGGGGATGATCGCCAGTATCTATTCTATGTTGTGTCAAACTAGTTCGACCCACGTCAGAAGACGAGCGGGAGAAAACAACTTGAAGATCTTTAATGACGCGATCGGCAGCATTTTTCTCTTTATCGTTTAATTGTGCATTCTGCAATAACTCCGATGTAATGCTCTCTGAGAACACGGATTCTGGGATGGTTACTCTTTTCTTTCAACGCTGGTTACTGGAGTACATGTTGCCAACCACCACTTCACCTTTCTTAATAACTCTCGACCTTTCAGTTACATTGGCGACTCTCACCGGGATAACCGTTCTGGATAGGTCGACGAGTGTTGAGGCTACTAGTACTCCTTTGGGATATTACAGTTATTGGGATATTCTATGATGCCGTAGCGGAAAATTTCTATTTTCGGCTATGGATCCAGGAAGTAAAATTTCTGTTCTGGCCGGTATTGTGATATAGTCTTGTGCTATGATTTTATGGACAGATTTAACTTCTTCATCATTAACGAGAAATAACGCTATGTCCTCAGATGTAGAATGCAATTCGTTATTTTTAAAATCCAAGGAAAAAATTGTATTTCCTTAGAAAGTCCAATCCGAGTATGCAAGAATCAGTGATCTCTGCTACATATGCCGTGTGATGGTAAGCGGCACTTCCAAACGTGATGTTAACATTTACTTTTCCGTCGATGTCGATCTTCTCACCGGACACGGTCTGGAGGGTAACGCAGGGCGGCGTCCAGATAAGTTTGTTTCCTAGTTGCTTGAGCCAAATCTTTTTGGATGATGGTGACGTTGGCTCCTGTATCTATAGTCATATTGCACGGAACTCCATTAATATGTCCTATTATGAAAAGTCCATTACTGCCG